CCGACGTCGTGAGGGATACACTGTACGGAACGCCGTACCAGCCCCGGCTCGGGAGAGAAACCCTCGTGGTCATCTGCTACGTGGGCCACGGCAGGGTGATGCAGGCAGCAACCAACGATGAATCTACTCTCCTTCTACACCCAAGCTGGCCGCCCACGGTCTTCGATCAACCACCTCAACCTATCAGTTCCTACCAATACCAAGATGTCCCTCGAGTATACTTCACGAATATCCGCCGAGAGTTGATCGACAGCGCCGAGCCAGACGTGCTAATGCTACTTGACTGCCCCCATCCCGGCGGCGCAGGCGCGATTGGGTCCGGCAAAGAGATCATCGCAGCTTCACTCCCCGACCACCTCGCCTGCGCCGACGGCTGGCGATCGTTCTCTGCCTGTCTCATCTACCATCTCCGGCTCGCAGCGACTAACAAGCATATCCTGACGGTGCCGCAGCTTTACTCGAGACTGGCCACCAAATGCTTCACATTTGATGTGCACGGCGAGGCCGAGTTGGCGTCCATGCCCGTTCACATCCAACAACACTGCAACACACCCCGCGTCCCCATCTACCTAGGACCGATCTTGCCGGCATTCTGCTGGTATTCTGGTCGAGTCGGCCTGTATATGTCCTAGCCAGCTATAGTCGTGCTAAGCGTGCGCCTGCGAGACGCAGAAAGCATCATCCTATCTGACTTGACGTCGTGGTCGGCACTATCGGGCGTTGACTTTGGTGATAGAGTGCATTTCGAGCGCGCGTACCCCACCGTCTCAGGGACGGAAATCCTCTTCAAGGCTACATTTGATGTTTGGTGCGGATTGAGAGGCTGTCCAGCAGTGAATTTCATCACTATCATGGTTAACGACGAGTTTGCGCGTAATATTGGGCCTAATCCTGTCTCTCATATGTAACGAAGACGACGACAGCGACGACGACGACGGCGACGAAGGGCAACGACGAAGGATAATGACGACAGAGTTGACGAAAGAGGCGACAACAAGGAACGGTAGTATACCGCCTGAACGGAGGAGAGCCACCTCGGACTTTCAATCTCATCCCAGACGCACCAACTCACTCGGCGATCTTGTCCTCCTCGGGATCACCAGAAGCAAGCCTGCGCGAACTGTCGATGCTGGCGTCGCTGCGGCGCTGGCCCCGCACGACTTGGGGGAGTAGACTGGGGGCAGCGCGGGCTTTCCGGACAGAATCTGGATTCTTCTGTGACAGGCAACAAGGACGACGACAGCAAGGACGACGTCAAGGAGCCACCCCAAGAGTTTGGTTTGGTCCCAGGCCTGTTTTCGAGTACCTGCCTTAATCACGTCGCCAGGCGGTCAGGTTCATCGTAATGCCCTGGTTGTCTGGTGCGTGTCTGCACCATGTTGTGCCCACCACCACGACAGTAACTCCTCGTGCGAGTCGCAAACAGATAAGTATCTCGAACAGGCCAAGAAAGAACTATAGGCCCGAGATTTCCCCGGATGCTCGACACCTATCGTAAGATAAGATGGTTGCGATAGGCTCAAGTGTTTGGGCTGTCCCAAGGGCAACGATGAAGGTGCTTCATCACACTTTGGAACTAGTTTCAGCTCATTTCTTCCATTTCATACCATTCTTGCCTTTTATACGTAACCAAAAACAAATTACCTGAAACAAATACAAAAAGATCTGTCTGCACAGGGATATATACAATCGTCAATTTTTGTCTTCACTTTTCGCCATTGTATCAACACGATTGAAAACCAATAACCCAATAAAACGAGAACAACCAACCCCCCTTTTCCGCTCATGAAACACACCGCTCTTCTAAGCCTGGTTGCGCTTGGCGAGCATGCTCAACGCGCTGCCCGCGAGGATGAAGCCGGCCTGGTCCTTGGTGACGGCGTGCAGCGTGGGGACGAGCACCTCGGAGCCGTCCTTCTTCTTGACGAGCAGCTGGACCTTGCCCTTGCCGCCGTTCTGGAGCATCTCGTAGAGGCCGACGGTGCTGACCTCGTCGCAGGCGGCGATCTGGTCGTAGTCGGCTTCGTTCTCGAACGTCAGGGGCACGACGCCCTGCTTCTTGAGGTTGGTCTCGTGGATGCGGGCGAACGACTTGGTGAGGACGACGCGGGCACCGAGGTAGCGGGGCTGCAGGGCGGCGTGCTCGCGTGCGCTGCCCTCGCCGTAGTTGTGCTCGGCGACGACGAGCCACTCCTGGCCGCGCTCCTTCCAGCGCTGGGCGAGCTCGGGAATGGTGTGCTTGGAGCCGTCGACGTCGTAGGCGGCGTTGACCTCGCCCGTTTCCTTGTTGACGGCGGTGTTGAGGGTGTTTGTGCTGATGTTGGGCAGGTGGCCCTTGTACTTGAGCCAGGGGCCAGCGGCGGAGATCGTGTCCGTGGTGCACTTTCCGGTGACCTTGACGAGGACCTTGAGGCCGGTGATGTCGCCCTCGGGGAAGGGGGGGAAGGGCTCGAGGAAGGCGAGACGCTCAGAGGTCGGGGAGATGGCGACCTTAATCTCTGGGTTGGGCTTCTCGGGTGAGATGGCCTGGAGGGAGGCGACGCCGGACTCGAAGGGGGACTTGGGGTTCTCGAGACCGCGGGGAGGGTTGAATTGGAACTCCTTGCCGTCGGTCGTCTGAAGCTTGTCGGTCATGGGGTTGAAGGTGGTTGATCCGGCGTAGGCCATGGCGGTGACGATCTCAGGGGAGGCGAGGAAGTTCATGGTGCCAGGGTTGCCGTCGTTACGGCCGCGGAAGTTGCGGTTGTAGGACGTCAGGATGGCGTTGAGCTCGCCCTTGGGGATGTCGTCTTGACGCTTCCACTGGCCGATGCAGGGGCCGCAGGCGTTGGAAAGAACGATACCACCAGCGCCCTCCAGAGTCTGAAGGGTGCCGTCACGCTCGAGGGTGGCGCGGATCTGCTCGCTGCCAGGCGTGATGTAGAAAGGGGCCTTGGACTTCAAGCCGGCGGCTTCGGCCTGCTTGACCATGCTCTCGACCTTGGTCATGTCCTCGTAGGAGCTGTTAGTGCAGCTGCCAATGAGACCAGCAGACAGGACCTCGGGCCATTGCTCTTGCTGAATGGTGCTCTTGAACTGGGACAGGGGGGTGGCCAAATCGGGGGTGAAGGGACCGTTAATGTGGGGCTCCAGCTCCGACAGGTTGATCTCGATGACTTGGTCGTACTCGGCGCCCTCGTCGGCTCTGAAGTTGAAGCTTCCCCAGTTCTTGTAGCCCTCAAGAGCGCGGTGCTGGGCTTCTCTGCGGGTTTGGAGCAGGTAGCGTTCCGAGGCCTTGGTGTAGGGGAAGATGGACGTCGTAGCGCCGACTTCGGCGCCCATGTTGCAAATAGTCGCCATGCCGGTAGCGCTGAGAGTCTCGACACCCTCGCCGAAGTACTCAACAATGAAACCAGTTCCACCACGTACGGTAAGCTTGCCGGCGAGGTTGAGAATGACGTCCTTGGGAGAGACCCAGTCGTTAAGCTTGCCAGTCAGCTTAACACCCAGCACGCGGGGGGCCTTCAGTTCCCAAGGAGCGCCGACCAAAGCCTCAACAGCATCAGCACCGCCGACACCAATGGTGATGGTAGACAGACCGCCAGCGTTAGGGCTGTGAGAGTCCGTACCCAGCATCATGATGCCCGGCAGAGCGTAGACCTCAAGCACCGTCTGGTGGATAATACCCGCACCAGGAGGCCAGAAGTCCATGCCATACTTGCGTCCGGCCGACTCGAGAAAGTCGAAAACCTCCTTGTTTACTTGGATACCGTCGACAAGATCGCTGTCAGCGCCCTTGGAGCCCACAATCAAGTGGTCGCAGTGGATACTGGCAGGAATGGCGGGCTGGGCAAGGTTGCAGGACATGAATTGCAGCAGGGCCATCTGCGCAGAGGCGTCCTGCATGTTGACTCGGTCCGGGTTGAGCTTCAGGTTGGCGCTACCGCGGATGTTGCGTCCATTTTCGGTGTTGGTGAGGAGCGACTCCTCGGCGTTGTCGAGATGGCTGTAGAGGATCTTCTCGGCGAGGGTAAGGCGCTGCTGTCCTCCGAGGACGTGGCGGACCTTGAGGAGGTTGTCGTGGAGCCTTCGGTAGGTGTCGGGCTTGATCGACTTGGGCAGGAGCTTGCGCATCTCGGCGTCAAGCTGGTCAACGTCTTGTGCCGTCGCAAAGGTCCTCCGGACCGGCAGACATGAGGACGCGGAGAGGCATGGTCGCGTGCGCGCCAGGAGCCGCTGTTGCGGTGTTAGTAACCTCATTGTAGGCTGGAAAAATGTTTTGAGTATGGCTATACCCTCGCGGCGCCTCCAGTTCGACTGGCAAGCTGGATTGGTGCCATTGTCGCTGCGCACCTCGCTCCCAAGACTATGTGTGAGTCGTAATGGCGGGGTGTGGAATTTTTTGGATTGCAAATTGGCGATGTCGGATTGGAAAGTCTGGGGGAGTTTTACACCATTTGTGGGGCAACCCCAAAGAAACCTTGCACTGCCGGCACCGGCGACGACCATACGCCGAGGCAAATCCCTGCACTGAGTCGGTATCGTTAAGAACTGATCACTTACACCAGAGACAGTGAGACGAGGCAGCTTGTCGATTCTCCTATTGAGTTTCTTTGATATCGCTTACATCATCTTTCCTGCGTATACACCATAATAATCAAGGAAGGCTACAGAGACAAAAAGAGCAGAACCGGACGAAGACGACGACGGACGACGACGGACGACGACAACGGCAATAGAGAGGACAACAACGGCAGAGATAACCAAAACCTACATAAAATTGAGTCGCCAAGGCACTGTAAAAAAGTGATCTCTTTTTTTTTTTTTGTCAACTTATCCGACAGTATGCTTGATGCCAAGAAACAATTTCCCCTGTCCCAATTGCACCAACATCTTCTTAGCTAGCCTTGAGTTGAAGCATGGCTCAGAAGATGGGCCTTGTGCACTCTATATACAACCCGTAAACTCCGAAATCCCACAGTAGTCCCCCTTGCGCTATCAAATGCTCCTCTACTAATCGTCTACTGGTCATACTGATTCTTCGTGCCAATAAAACCCTCGTTCCTCTCTCTTCTCTTGCCCCTCACCTCCTTGAACCACTCAGTGAGGGTGTAGCCCCAGTGGCCGGCGACGAGCACGCCACTAACAACGTTGACAATCTTCATCAGGAACTGCAAGAAGCCGTCCCTAGACTCCTCCACGGACAGCAGAATCGGCTCGATGTCGTACTTGAAGAAGATGCCGGGCACGTTGTGGTCGTCGACCTCCTTGCTCTGCTCGGTAACGGCGTACTGGTTCGTGAAGATGGTGTTGGAGGTGGACGCCGACTTGCCGACGGTGTAGACGGTGGGCACAACAGAGAGGTAGTACTGGAACTTGTGGAAGTTGATTCTGGCGGCGTTGACGGTTCGGTCCAGAGGGTTGACAAGCGAGGGGTAGAAGGGGCCGAACGACATCTCGGAGATGATGTGCGAGAAGTTGAAAGCTGCGAGATGATTAGTACGACTCGACCCACGGCGCATGAGTTACAGCCAACTTACCAGCATGGTCAAGGTGCTCCCCAAACTCCATGTATCCGTGACCTCTCGCGGTGATGTGGAAATCGCCCTGCACCCTGTTCACGTCCAAGTTGCCGTAGATGCGGCAGCTGTCACCCTCGCCCCAAAGCTTCGGTGTCTTGGCCCACTTGGCCCTCTTCTTTCCAATGGCAACAATGTCGTGGACGTGCTCCTCGCCGAAGCCCTCCTCCTCCTGCCACCCCTCGCCCGTCACGATCCTGCCCTTGGTGTCTCTGCCCAGGCGGTGGATACCCTTGTTGTCGACCCACTGCGACCAGTTCGTCTTGTCGCGCTTGAGCTTGCTGGCCGCAAGGATGCGGTCGCCGGCGGCGTCCTGCACGTTGATGTGGAGGTCGTCGCAGTGCATGCGCACCACGATGTCCAAGTTGATCTGCATCTCGTGTCCAACTCCCTTCTCAACGGCGAAGGTGTGCGTTTCAGAACCGCGCCACCAGCGACCGACCTCGGTCCAGAAGAGGAAGAGTGATATCACTGCCATGGCGACAGTCCACTTGCCGCCGCCCGACGTCCGCGTTACATATTGGGGTTTCGCCTTGGCTGCGAAAACCGTGTCAGCTCATTGCTTCACATCGGTTTGTTGAAGAGCGTTGCGCGAAGGTGCGCAACAGTCTGTCGTGTGACTTACGGAAAGCATCGAAAGCGCTGACAATATTCCCCTTCGCCCCGAAGGCGTCGTCATCCATGCCGTGCTTCTCGTCCCAGCCGTTCATCATGGCTGCCTGATGTCAATTTGATAACCTCGTTTACCAATACCGCCAGTGATCAGCGCAATTGAGATGTGGTCGCAAGTCACTTCGCTGTGTATGTGTGTTGATCACGAGGCTGTCGCAATTCGTCGATGTGTCCCTATTCGGCTTGTTGCAAATGCCTGCCGTCAAAACCTTGTCTCGTTACCGCATGCCTCGTTTTCGGTGCCTGTTCGCAAAAATGAAAGACTTTTGAAGCTGCCAGGGATTGAGTCGTCGAAATTCGCCTCCTGGAAAGCTGGTCAGATTACTCGGCGCAACTCTCGTGAAGTGGGAGGTGTCGTAGAAGACTGTCTTAAGGACACTTTATCCAAAAGTTATCTGCAGTTCGGGCCCCCTGTCCAGGGGTCCAGAAATGATTGGTGCTGCATGTTAGTGCAGATGTACTAAGTGGGGCATGCGCATTGGAGCTTCCAACAGGGGTGTGTGCGGGAACGTCTCCATCCCACATGCATCGTCGCCACTCTACACATGTTCACAGCTCGACACCTTGATTGTCGCCAAAACATGTCACTTTCACATTTAACTGCATGTGTTTTTCCGAATAGTTTGGATAGCCACGTTTCATTGCTGCCTAAAACCTACAAGTACCAATCTGTAATCTGTCATGAGAGCGTCATGAAACGAGCGTCACCTCGGACAACCTGAGAGACGAGTGATCGGTCCTACACTAACATGTGCGCTGAGTGGCCACCGTCGCGTGCCACTACCAACTACCGCTTCACTACTGTCGAGACAGGTCTCAAATGAAAAACAAATACCCTGATAACACTGTGAAATGAGACATGCGAGGAGAGCCAGACACCCTGAACAGACCACCGGTCACTCCGTATCCAGTGGGAAAGAAAATCACGAGAACGGCCTGAGGATGGTCTACTTCCTCAGCCGCCTCTGCTGCTCCTCAAGAAACTCTTCGTCGGAAGCGTCCAGAATGTCGTACTCCTCATCGGTCATGAAGCCATCATCGGAAGCGTCCCACTCCTCATCATCACCGCAGTCCTCAAACTCCTCTGCCTCAGAGCTAGTGGCAGGGGCAGCCTCAGACTTGATCTCCTCGTGGATGCTAGAAATCGGTGATTCCTTCTCCAGCTTGGGGAAAATCATGTTGCTGCTCTGCATCTCGACAGGGACGTCCTTGGGCTCTTCAACGACGGGCTTGGGAGCCTGAACGCTAACATCGCACCAAAGTCTGTGGCCAAACTTGAGACCGTCCTTGGTGGTTAGACGCCAGTAAGAGATGATCTTACCCTCGCGCGCAGGAGTGCGGAGGAGAACGTTGAAAGCAAATTCCTGACCCGGTGCAAGAGGTGCGTAGCAGACAGTAGACTCAGAGGCAGAAACGAGCTCGGAGATACCGGCAGGGTGGTTAGAGTCGACGTGGCCCATGTAGTCTCCGCCAACAAACTTGACAGAGCATCCGGCAGGCCAGGCAACCTCGCCGTCGTTGCGAAGGACCCAAGTCTGCTCGAAGACATGATTAGGCGGCAGGATGGTGCCATCAGCGACGGTGTCGCGAACGAAGACAGCCGCGAGATCTTGCTCGGTGATAGGCTTCTCAGCAACGGGGGCCACCGGCTTCTCCTCGATGACTTCCTTCTTGACCTCAGGCTCCTTCCTTACTTCTACCACGGGCTCGGGCATCTTCTCGACGACCTCCTCCTTGACGGTAGGCTCCGTAGGCTTCACATCAACAACAGTCTGGACAGGGTTGATGGATGCGTTGGCAGTAGTCTCGGTGGAGCGGGAGCTGGTGCGGCGGATGTTACGGTCGCCCATCTGATGCATACGCTGACCATCTCCGCGCTCGCCAGTGGTGGTAACAGTGACATGGCGGACAGGCGTCTTAAACTTGACCAGAGGGTGAGTCTTGTTGTGGGTGTTAGCCGGGCTAGCCTCGCAGTTAGCACAGAAGTCGGTGTCGTGGCACACGGTGCACTTGTAGCGAACACCGGTGATATAGGTGGGCGCGTTGTGAGCGCGAGCGCACAGGGGACCGTCACAGCAGATGCCGAAGTGGACAGAGCGGCTGACAGCGCGGCTACGAACCTCATCAAGAGGCTCGTAGATGGGAACGAAGCGGTGGTTGGGGTGAACGAATTTGGAGTTCACGATGCAGTCAGCGCAATAGTCCCAATCAGGGCAGTCGAGGCACTTGTGACGGACACCAGCAATGTACTTGTCGCAGCCGTCGCAAATAGCGTTGTGGCTCTGGTTGCGGCCAGGAGACAACTTGATCTGGATGTGGCTGGGGACGTGGGCGCCCTCGACAGCAGGCACGAAGGGGTGCTTCGGGTTGTGGCCGTGAGAATCCTTCTCGAAGCAAGCGTGGCACAGGTCAAAGTCCTCGCAAGAGGTGCAGTGGAGGAAGCTGGCCTCAGGAAGCTCGGTCACGCAGCAGTTGCAAGTGCGCATGTTGTACATGGCGTTGCTGAAGACGGGGAGAATTCTCTCGGGCAGCAGCTGCTGGGCTGAAACCTTGATGGGTTCCTTGACTTCCTTGGTAGCATCCTTGGCCTTGCTCTTGATCTTGGGAGCGATGGTCTCCGTTGTGCTGTTGATAATCTGGCCGTTCTTCACGATACGCTTGATGAGCCAGTGGTCGGCACCGTAGCAGGTGATGCCCTGGTCAACGCAGTCTTGGCAAAGGTCAAAGTCGCCGTCGTCGCATGTGGAGCAGTGGTAGTGAGCATCAGGAACTGTCTGGTCGCAGCTGTTGCAGCAGACTGCGAAGTTGGTGTTGGGGTGCGTGAGAGCAGGGCAGCGTCCCCATGATGATCTAGCGGGCGTGGTCTCGGCGCCAGAAGCGTTTGCAAACCACTGATCGCGGGCGGTGATGCCCTCGGAAACGGGGATATCCGGGGTTGCTGGTGCCTCCTCGTCGTTGATCTTGGCGTGTCTCCTCAACAATGAGGCGAGAATAGAGGCCTCAAAGTCAAGGCCGGTGTCGCTAGTGGGCAGCTCCTTCTTGGGCTCAACATCAGACTGCTGCAAGTCGACGAGTGGCTGAACTGGGGGCTGCTCCTCAACCTTGGGTGGGACGATCGGGGTGCTGGACTCGGGAACATCCTCAACGGACACTGGCCTAGGGGCCATCTTCTCCTCAACGAGCTTGGTGACACGGAGCTTGAGCTTTTGCTTGGCCTTGGCGGCGCGGTAGAGTTGCTTGTAGACTGAGACATTCGACTTGTCGAGGGTGATGTACGAACCAGCCGAGTCAGAGTATCTCTCGAGGACTACATTATCGTCCTGGGTGACAGCCAGAAGAGCGCGAACCTATGTGAGGCCGTGTTAGCAAGGTGTTTCCACCACAAAAGCCCCAAAACTCTAATAATGGCGGTGAAGAATGCAACTCTGCAACGTGGCGAGACGTCGCAAAGAGACTCAGAACGTGGCCATGAGAATACAGGCAGGTTGGCAGGTAGCGGAAGCAGCGGGTGAATGACGTACTCTCTCTTCGAGGGTGCTGGGTCCCATATCTCGCAGAGGCAGCTTGTGGCGGCGGGTCATTCCCTCGAAGTTGATCTTCAGGGTGACCTGAGTGTCTGGCGATGTTGTGTTGTTGGAAGCCATGTTGAAAGGATGGAAAGTGATTGCTGGGTATCGATGATGTGTGTCGCGGTCGGCCGGCGGGGAGGGGATGACGGCTCTTGCGGGTGTTTCACGAGCTGAGCGGGTAAGCACGGTGCACGAGGCTCGCTCGGTCGGGGTTGGAGAGAAGTTCTCCTTTTCCAGACGACGGGTAGCGTGGTGGTATATGTATTGGGGTGGTCGACAATGGATGTGAAAGAAAAAAGAAGATGAAGAAACGGGACAAAGAGTAGATCAAGTGGTGGAAGACGAGAAGCTGGACAAGCGGGTGAGGGATGGGGTGGGAGAGATAGTGACTTAAAGGATGATGGGGGTCAGTCGTCAGGTGGAGAAAGAAGGTGAGCAGGCGAGGAAGGACAAGCCGGAGAGAGACTGGACTGGTTGGCTCACACTTGGGGTGGTCTTGCACCGACACTGACCAGGGCGTGGTCTGGAGTGGAGGTGGAGGTGCCGGGTGGGGACACTGTGGGAGACTAGGCGGATGATGCGTCGCTTTCTCTGGAAGGTGTCAAGGACGCAGGACTCAAGGTGCCGAACTCGACGGGGACTGGACGAGACCTTCCTGCGTTGAGATGCGGAACGGTGCGGTACTGGGTGAGAGCTCCTGCAGATGACTTGAAGCTTGTACTGGGGGATGGGGACTGGAGGACACTTATGTACGACCAGCGAGGAGGGCGAGGCCGAAACCGTGGTGGCCAGAGGCAGAAGGCATACAGACAGACCCGGGACACATGGACACACCATACACACTCACACGCGCGCTGCACACACCACGCAATCCAATGGCAATGGGCGATGGCCACTGCCAGGCAGGAGAGCGGCAGCGTCACTCGCACCCGCTGGAGCTGGGATTAGCACGTCGGTGTCGGGTATCTCGCGGTGATGGAGGTGAATGCGCACTGGCACTGTCCCGAACCCGGTGTGGATTTGGGAGGTGGTATTCGTACATGCCTTCCATACCTTACAGCGTAAGGTACCTACCTGCCTGGTAGTGTAATAAGGTCCATTGGTAAGTAGGTAGGTAGGTAGGCACGGAGGCAGGCGGGTGCAGTTCCATTGGTGGTGACTCTTGGATTTGGAGACGACCTACGGGCTGGCTTTCCCCAGGCAGGACACTAAGGTGCCTAGGAAAAGAGAGGGGCGAGAGAGGCGCTAGTGCAATGTGGTTGGCTGGCATGGCACCGAGGGGCTCATGTCTGAAGTGAATGGAAGGGCTGCGGTGACCACCTCACTGGCCATTGACCATCGTACAGAGTGAGTACAGGCGGGCAGTCACTGCCCAGCCAGAATGGAACTGCGAACTGCTCCGGCGCAACCTTGCCTCGGCGAGGACGGCTGGGTTGCAGTACGCTTGCGGAGATAGCCTTCGCCGCGAGCCAGCCGAGACATCACTAACCGCGACCATGTCCAAGTGTCAGGTCTACGTAGCGCTTCTCGAGTCGCACGCCGTCTCTGCTTAGCACTTCTTCGCCATCCATGCCCGCACTTCGGGAACCACAAACTGCTCACATGTCACCAATCTAGGGCCCGTACCTGGACTGGACTGGACTGGACTGCGAGACAGACAGGCAGAGAGGCACCCGTAGCGACAACTCAGCTCAGCTCCGCGTTTGACACGAGGATTATTCAATCACCATGGAACGACTTGGAAAGAGGCGGTCAGCCAGATATCTGGCCGAGCGCTCTATCACACGTCCTCTACCTTGCCTTGGTAGCTGCCCATGGAAGCTGCCACAATATTCTTTCGCCTCTTGCCCAGGCACCTTGACTCACCCAGCCAAGGTGTAACTTACTGTTTGGCTGATGCATGGCAACATTGCCTCGCAAATCGAATCCCCCCGATGTCGCCTCTTGTCGTCGCCCCGTTCAGGCAGGCAGGCAGACGACGACACAAACAGCTGCAACAAGGCCACCCGGAACCTCGAATCCTTCCCTATCTTTGCCTCCTGTTCCCTTTCCCACCCCTCGCCCTTCAGGATTCGCACCTACACGCCCCCCGGTTGGGCTGTCTTCTGCCCATTACCACCTACCCCGGCTGCTCTGAGCAAAGACGCCATACCCAGTTCCCATTGGCACATGACCGGGGGCTGCCCTGCAAACACAAGACTCGGAATGAGGCGAACTGGAGCCTCGCCGCAAATGTTCCTATGTTTACTCACTGCAGCAATGCAAAATCCAGGAAATGGCGTTCGTTCGCCGGATTCTGCGGCTTGGTTGGAAGAGCCTCCTTGGCTCCTTAATCTTCCATCGACTTTTCGCTTTCCTCTCACACAATGGCATCCAGCGTTCAGACGTGCCATGTCACCATGCTGGCTCGTCCGCGACATTCTGCCGGCCCCGTTGATACGGTGCTTTTATGCAACCCATCGCGGCCCCCGAAGAGGCAGCTTGCTGCATAATTGCATGAGCAAGTCGGTCAGTCGGTCACTCGCCTCAGCGATAACACAATACAGCTGCCCCCGACTCTCCGAATTCGCCCAGGGATGCCCAGTGCTGTGCCTCCTCAGCAGACGCGCTGTCTCGCGCTGTCTCGCAATCCTCTCCAATGCAACTATGCAGACCATGTCGGGGCTACCTGCACTCGAAAGACCGAGATGAACATTGCACTTGATGCGCTGGATACCACGATGCGCTCCGTAGAACGCCAACCTCATGCAGCTACCGCGGCCGCGACCACATCCGCATCCGATCTTAGCGAGCCCGGCGGGCTGGACGGTCTCGATCGGAGCGAGTCGTTGGAGGGGCGGGTCGTCGATACTCCAAGACTCGGTACAGTCTGTTCGCCTATCACCTGAGCAGCTTCATTGCTCGACGCTGCATCGAACATCCACCCGTTGATACGATACAGTCACGCAGCACGCAACTTGCTGCAGCAGCATCAGCAGCACGCAATCCTACCGTCTCCATGGGCTTATCGGAGCCAGTGGAGGGTAGGAGAAATGATGTGCAACTAATCAACCTGGAAGGACGGAAAAGAACCGCCGGGCCCAGTGTCTTGACTCGCTCACGTGGCCCTTTCATCCGTCACAGATCGAGAAACCATCTCTGAACTCAATGGCAAGACAGCCAAACAGCTGCCAGCGAGCCAAGCTCCTTCAGCTTCTTCATCTCAGCCAGCCAGCTGTTGCTGCCTTGCTCTTTCCTGCAACCCAGCACTGCCTTCATTGCCCTCTAACCTACCTCCTTACCCAAATTCGAGTAGCATGCAATGCGTCTCCCGGGCCACCAGGCAGTAGAGCGCCAGCCTCGCATTACACTTCCTCTGACAAGCGTCCGTGAGATTTACAAAACAGGGAGGCGCGCATACCGAACGGCCAGCCAACCGAGTCAGCAATAAAAGCCGACGCGACAACTCATCACCAAGAGGCACGTTTGACGACGCCGACGACCAGCCAACAAGACAGCTCCGTCGGAGGCGGGGAGCTCTCGGTGAGCAAGCAATTAGCGTTCGGCGGTTGGCTGGTTGGCTGAGATCGACAGATGGCGGGGATAAGCAGGACGACATCAAAGACGACTGCAGCACGTCCCCCAAAGGTCCGAGAGCGCGGCCTGCCATGCTTCGACATCGGCCTGCAGAATTGATAATGACTCCCAGGCAGTAAAGGTGCCTCGACTGAGGTCTGTTGTTCAAACGCTCACGCTGCGCGCTATCCGATTAGCCCACGCTGCTAGTCATGCGAACTCAACCCCCGCCCTTTTCCCTTTCCATCAGAGTTCATCCACGACGGCGTCCCGCCAAGAAAGTGTCTCCTGAAATCGCTGCATTTCGAGACACCTCTGGTCCAGCTTGAACATTAAAAGTGTAATCGACTTTGAATTCAACACGTCAAGATGCGCCGCCTCCGGAGTCTCCTCAACAGGCAAGCCGGGCAGGAGAAACCTCTCTCCGGACCCGAGGCTCTTGAACCCCAATTCCGACATCTCTCTCCCTCCCACCTCCCTCTCGCCGTCGCCGCCTACATGTAGGGCCCGGATACTTTCGTCCACCCCTTTACCCCGCCGTCGCAAGCCAGCCTCATCCAATGTTCCTAGGCAGAGATACGTCAGGCAAGGCACGGACAAAGTAAACCTTCCGCTTTGAAATCATCCCATGAATCAAATAGAAAGGCAAGGCAACAGGCAAGCTTACTGCCACAGTACCTCCTTTTCTGTGGCGGGACACACAATCGAATCTTGGCCCGTTGCGGAAAGTAAGCTTCTCGCCCCTCTCTCTCTCACTCTCTTATTCTCCTACACGCCCCCTCCCATCCTTCCGTCTCAACAAAGGGAAGGTGGACAAATAAAAGTCGTTCCAGGCTTTCCCGAACCTACGTCATGTCATTGTCTCGTCCCTCACTCCGCCCCTCCTCGCAAGCCCCCACGGTCAAACCAAAGGAAGTCTCCCATTCTGAACAAGACCTTTTCCGTACAAAAAACCAACCCGTCGAAAACGACGGCCTTGTTTCAGAAGTTTCCAAGACTCGGGCGAAGAAGAGGGGTCGAATGGGAAGGGGAAGGGTAGCGGAGCCGCCGCCGCGATGAGCCGCAAACGTAACAGCGCGAACGCGTGGTTCCTCGTGCCTGGACTGGCATGCTGACACACCCAAGCATCAAGCTTCTAGTAAGGTAAGGTAGTGTACGTAGGCTATTCCAAAGAATATACACAGCCCAGAGAGGGCGAGCACCGCAAGGTAATTGTGGCGTGACTTACACCCTCCACCTGTAATAACATTACGCACCCGTCTATCTACCTGAGAACGGGACCATCCATGGACATCAGAAGAATTCGATAATGCGTTTTTTTACCAGACAACCTGGAAACCCGGATAGTCCCCCTTTTTTGCTTTGGTGTATGTGTACGTCATGCAATCCCATGACGAGGTTTCTGTGTTTTTTAAAATTGGTCCGTGGGCGCATAGTGAAGCTGTCGAAGGATCGAGATGTGATGGTGTTTGGGTGATTTCTCCCTTGCGACGGCGATCAAACTTCATGAGCTCTCGCCCATACCGAGAAGGCGGGCACGTAAACCACGCAGAGGAGAGTGAGTTACGGATTTCGACTGATGTGGCCGTGTGTAGGTTTCTGGGTGGCTGAAATGGCTGCCTTGCTTTACACCCTACGCACTCCTCTTTTTTGGCCATGTGTGAGAGCTGACTGGCGAGTGGATGAGGAAGAAGGGTTTTGAGACTTCTTGTGCTTCCACCGTTAGACGTGGCGCTCAAGCTGTCATGTTTGGATACGTGGATGAGAAGAAACTGATCCAATTGTACTATGGCAATCCACCTCCAATTGTTGTAGATGCGATTTTGGGTTGACAGGGTCAAGTGGTTAGGAAAACACGGCATTGAAAACGCTAATCCCACGAGAAGTCTCGCTGTCGTTCTTCATTCAGAAGCTTCACGACAACCTTGAGAACACCGGACGACTCTAGATGGGTTCACGATTCTGGAACCTAGAGCACTGGAGGCTTCAACTCCCATTCTCACTGGCGGTACATCTTATAGCACTTTTCATGATGCAGATCGCACTTTTGTTGAATATCTCTTGAGCCAGATGGTTGCTACCTAACTTGGCGTGGATCACCAGGTGTTCCATCACTCAGAGATGGGAATGCTCCCCCGATATTAAGAATAAACAGGTCCTTCGTAATCGAGGCCCAGGTATCATGATGTAAGAAACCCCCTGAACGAAAGCCGAAAACAGCCGCCCGATAACTCCATGCTTCTGTCTTTCTCTGCGTTCTTGCCTCCCTCTTCCTTGTATGTGCGTAATGCCTTCGCGGTCTGACCTTCTCATGGCTCGTAATGTTTTTGATGTACAGAATGGATTGACGTGGGCAGGATGGTCCTGGCCCAATTCATCTCTCCTCGTAAGTCAGTATGCTGAATGATGGCTCACTGGCCATTTCGGTTCCTCTTGAATAAATGCTCATAAGGCTCGCCGGCAGCCTCAAGCGCTGCGGCTTTCAAAGAAAGATCGCGTGATTTCCGCATCCACTCCGTGGCCCTCAGCCAGTCTTCGTTCCTCCGCACGTAGCTGGGAAGCTCCTCCACCGGTACGTCGCCGAAATCCATGGGTCTTCGGTGTGACCATGGCTGCGGCGGGTTGGGTGGTGGCTTCGGCGGGTCCTTACCCCGTCGCGCTGCCAGCGCCCTCGCGATTGCCTGCCCAGCTTCAGACCGCTCCTCGGCAAGTCTCTGCTGTTTCATCCGGTAGGCTGCCTTGCCAAAGTTGGCTTTGCGTCCGCCGCGAGCCTTGATCTCTTCCATCTTCTGCTCAAACCACTCGTCAGAGCGGTCGTGAGACCAGTGGATACGGGGATCGAATCTCATGTAGAACGGCCTGTGTGCTTCCTCTCCGGCTGAAGCGGAATTGGGGCTAGTAGGAGCGGGTGTGATGAAGACTTCCGGGGGAGGCGTATCCGCTTCAGGCTGTGTGTAGATCCAGGTGTCGAATTTGTGTTGGTCAACAGTACGGCAAAGCTCAACCCGCCGCTGCTCGCAGGTCAACTTCCTGGACTTTGGAGGCCTTGTGCGCCATCGCTCAGTGGAAACTGAGAAGACTTGTTGATTCTGGATGGCAAGGTTGGGGCGTCGCGCCATGAGCCCTGTGCTGTGATTCTGCCTGGCGTTGGTTGCCAGACCGTTGATTCCGGCATCTTCGCTTTCCTCACTAGGTTCTCGGATTGTCTCCTCACGTCTGTTCATGACGAAAGGGTTATCGGAAGCAAACGTAGAAGGCCCACTGGGGTCTGGGACGAAGTTGTGAATGTTCGGAACACTACAATGCGCAACTGCGCCTGTCGAACGCCTTGTTCCATCTCGAGACTGTGGCGAAGGCCCTGTCTCTCTCTTAGTGGTAAAGGCAGCGGTCGTATCTTCGTCGGTGTCTTCTGAGTCCGAGTCTGATGTCGAAGTTGAAGCCGTGTCCGAGATGCTTGCTCTCTTGCGCTTAGCTGATGAAGTTGTAGGTTGCGGGAATGGGGGCGCGGTTTTGATACTCGTCGGAGGAGGCTGCAGCCCTGATCTCACGATTGGAAGGGAGCGGTAATCTATTCTGCCTGGGGATGCAGCAGATGGCGTGAGAAACTTTGTCAACTCTTTAGACTTGCTTCTTTGACGGCTGGCTTCTGGGCGGGGCTTGTTGACGCCATGGTTGGTCGTTGATTGCGACGAGGCTTGTGATGTTTGACGTGAGTTTTGTGAGGCTGCACGAGCGGGCCGGACAACCTTATCAGCCGCGGAGCTGGTTTTCGGAGCTTTGCGTTGATCCTGGCCATTCGTCGTAGTTGACTTGGCAGACTGCCCTCCGTTCTGTACTGCCTTGCCCGGCGGGAATTTGTCGGGGCTCCTCGAGGTTGGTGGCATAAATCTAGACCTGGTATGTTCTTGAAAGCGAGGCGCAGACCCCACAGTGGGTGACACAGATGATGGGTGGTTTCTCTGCACAGAAGGCCTGGAAATTGACTTCTTAGCTGTAATGGCGTGCTTATGGAGAAGATCAGGAGGGAAGTTAGTATTCCTGACTGTTTGCTGGGGGTCCGAGAGACTACTAGTCCCACCATGGAAGCCAGGAAGCCCGTTGCGAGACTGTCCGCCGTTGAGACGTTCCGTCACGCGTGGATTCCTAGAGATCCCCTGCGTCTCGTTAACCAGGTGAGGCGTCTGGTTCGATTTGAATGATAAGCTGGAGTTTCCGGGGCCGAGCACATTGCGTGTGATGAGAGTGTTGTGCTTTAAGCAGTGTTTGCTACCGTTGGTCAACACAGTAGAACCGCACCCCGCAGTGGCGCATCGGTCAATTGGGCGGGTCGCGTCCATCTCATCACATGAGCGCTCTTTCGGAACGGTGCTCTGAGTATTAAGAAGCCGGGCTCGCAGATTTTGAAGCGTACTCCTGGTAGTCATCAGAGTCGTCGAAATGCAATGTACGAGTCAAGAACCGCAATCGAGCACGTTATCGGGCCAAGTAGGCGATGCCTGCCTGACTTGAGGTGACCCGCAACTTCGGATTATGCTGCTGGCTTGCCCAGGCTCTATCGGTGACACGAGAGCTTTTGTTGAGCTTGATGCCTGCCTTTCGGTTCAATGGGACAGAAGTCAAGGGCAGCCTGGAGTTCTTGTCTCATGGTCCGACGGCTGAAGACGAAGCGGGTAGACACGTGTATCGTAGGCTCTAGTGAAGGTTAGCCATCGAGAGTGAGTTAACCAAGCAAAGTCCGAGAAAGAGTAGATTGACAAAAGGAACAAGAATGGTGTAAACAGAAAAATGATGTGTGTCGCGCTCAGGTCTTTTCAGTTTCTTATTTTGGTCTTCATTTTGGGGAAACAGCGGTTTTGCAGCCCTAGCTTGAACCTCTCATGTCCGCCTCGGCCTTTGGTCCAACTTCGTAGAGGCACCCAGAAGTTGAACTCCAAATGAGGCTGCAATAATGTCGCTACTCGATCCCGACGTGTGAAGCTTGGTTCATGAGGTAGCGACAAACGATGCGCGGCCCAACGCCAGGCGAAGGCTTTGCGGGGACGAGGACGTGGTTCAATCCTGAGAGTGAAGCCATAGACCAGGTACAAGATGAGACAACAACCCCAGAAGTATCCTTTTCTATCGGACCTTTTACCAATAGTCATCATTGCGCGTGAAGGGAATGGAACGGAAAAAAATTTGACGGAAAGAGTGAATGAAGAGCCTTGCTTACCTGGTGAAAACTGCCCGCCCGTTCTCTCGGTTTCGCGCCCACGCACCCTCCGCTTCGCGACAGCCGCCGAGTGATACTTTCGCATGGATCCAAAGTAAACGGCGTTAAAACGTGTATAACTTGGAACCGCAGACTGTTCTCATAATGAGCTGAGAGTTATGCCGAAAGCAGCGGGTTGCCTCGTGGGAGAAACGCCAGACGCGGGCTCGAGGTCGCGGAAACGTGGTTGAGGCTCTCGCCTCGCGTTACGTTCAGTGGAGGTTGTGTCGAGTGTTGGTTGCTTCAATTGAGG